CTATATAAATAAATATAAAATAAAAAATATTTTTGTAAATAAAATTATAAAATATACATTAAAATAAAGATTTTTCAAATTGTATCAAATTATATATTCGAATCCATTCGAATCAAATCAAATCAATTTGAATCTGTTCAAATCAAATCAAATCAAATTATATATTCGAATCTGTTCAAATCAAATCAAATCAATCCGAATTTGAATCGGTTCGAATTGGTCTGAATTTCATTGATTCATTCAGAGCCTTAACCTTGACTCATCCAACCATATCACATTTTTCCATTCTTCTTCCCAGTTTTGTTTTTCTCTGCTCCATCTTAGTTGATCTTTTCACTGTTTCTCTGCTAAAAGAGGTTTTTTTTTTGTAGCATAATTACCTAGACCCTCATCATGAAGATATTTTCTAACTGTATTATAATGCAAAGTTGTGTTAAGATGAGAATTAAATTTATTTGTTATATCACCAAGAGGGGAAAACCAGTTATCATGGACAATATGTTGTAAAATGCGTGTATCATGTTGAGCGAGCAGTTTTGGACAACCAGGACGTTTTTCAGGTGTTGTGTAACCTGTTTCTTTATACTGTTTGATAGTATCATTTATTGTACTGGTAGGAATATCAAGCTGAGCAGAAATAACTTTTTGTTTAATGCCACTAATATATGCACCAATAATTCACTCATGTTGAGCAACTGACAGCTCCTTTCTACTAGAAAAGTATTAAAATCAATTTGTTTTGTTATTTTCTTTATTTATATGTAAAATAAGGAGAAATCCACGATTGTGAAATTGGTGCACAGAATCATGTGACAAAATCCAGTAAATTATTGTAGGCCAGTGTATTGTAAAAAAATATAAGTCACATAAAAGGATTCCAGACAATGTGATAGATGAAATAGATGAATTAAACTAATAATATTTTTATTTTTGATCGACATCTTTAATCTTGCCATGTTATTTGGTTGCCCTGATCTAAATCCATTCTATATTTCACTACTGTTAATATTAGTATCGTCCTTACCTTCTCGACTTCAATTTGTTTCTTTATTAAACCATTCTTGAATAACTTCTATTATTTCTCTTCTAGGATTGATTTTCGTTAATAGAAATTTTTAATAGTAAGGGCAACAACTTCCTCAAGTAATTCACAAATGAATGAAATTTTGAATTCAATCCAGACTTTTTATCAAATAATTGCTTTCGTCAACTGGTTTACTTGGTCTGTATTTTTTCCAAGGCTCTTATTTTATCAACTTTTTGATTTATATTACAAAACTGTTTGTGATTTTATAATGAGGAAAAATTCTAAAACTTTCGGGATAATTTATTTTCGGTATATTAGTGTGTGTTTTCCGTGTATTAATGATAGTTAAAATTTGTGGACAACTCGTGGAATAATAAAGTGGCTTTGGTGATTTTTCATAATCGATAACAACAAATAACTTTTATCATCGAACAAGTTCTAATCAGCATCCATACATATTATTCCACCAGATGAGAAAGGAATACGTGGAGCATGCTATGATATTTAGATTTGCGGCCAAAAAATGTACGAATTAATCCTCGCAAGGATCTATTTCGTAAGGTAGATTGTTTGGAATCTCCTCAAACAATACTTTGGTTACTGGAACAATAATTTCTTCTTTAATTGTTCGCAATTTTCTTTAATTGTCCCTGCTTTCTACAATGATTGCAGTAGAGTTGGCTTTGAAACACAAATTCAATTTCGTCCTCTTTCAACTAATCCTTGAATTTTAAGATCCTTTTTTATATGTCCCTTAATCCCGCAGGAATAGCAATGTTAGTATGATAGGGGTTATTAGCTGTTGGTTCTTCTTTTTGATAATATAATTTAAAGAGCTGGTTGGGATTTCCATAGAAATATTCAATACTAGATTGATAAGTGAGAATCCTTAATATCTCTCCTAATGATTTGTTGATAACACGAATGAAGGTTTCTGGGTTCGTTGATTGCATGTTTATTAATGAGTTATTAGATAATATTTTGTTTGTTTCGTTTAGTCAGAACTAATTAACTTATTACAAAGTTATTCTTCGAGTACGTTGAATTCAGGTTACTAATATACAATTCAATTAATTATCAGTACTTTTATCACGATCTAGTGTTTAATTATTATTCCATGTCTAACACGTTTATCGTGCAGAATCTTCATTACATCAGATTTTACACATGAATTTTACTCATTTTCAAAAAAAAAATCCAATTTTTAATTTATACTCATTACAACTATCATCTTTATTTTCAAAATATATGTGAAATCATGGTTGCTGAAAGTGCACAAAAATGAAAAAAACCAAACAGCATGTAGATAAAGAGGCAAATAAAAAAACAGCGATCTTTATGATGTCTTCTTCTCTTAGAGATGTGTGCTACATGTAAACAAGAAGGTCACTCAAGGTCAACATCCAAGAAATGTAAATCCCCAAATTGGCTCGTAAAAAAACAGACTATTAAGGATACTACCATCTACCGTGTTGTTATTACTGTGAAAATGGGATTTAATTCATTTCTTGCAGAACCTGAATTACATAATGTTATTGAAGATGCAGTTGAAAGGATGAGATTAATTATAGCAGGAGCATTACGACTTACACAAGCACTAATTATATATATTGTGTTGAAAACAATATATCTACCTCATTTGTGCAAGTTGGCACATTATGTAGCAAGGGCTTGGAACTCCTGTTTGCAATGTTTCCGCAGCTGTAAAATCAGTAATACTAACTAATATTTATACTTGGAAGCATTTCAAAGACTGTCATTATTTGACATATGAAGAATAATCAATTTGGTAAATCGGCCAATTTAACCAATATTTTTAAAACTGATTTTAGGAAAAAAATAATAATACTTAAATAGACCGATTTACTACTACTCACGTTTTTTAGTAGTTAGATCGTTGACAAGAACGTTGAGTAAAAATTTCTACCGTGTGTATATAAAATAGAAATGAGAAGTCAGCATTAGTATAATTGTTCGCAAGCTTTTGACATAATCTTGAGAATTTTAAAAGGTTTAGGGAAGGATTAATATAGAAAATAAAGTTGTAAGAATAGCATGGGGCCGTCCAACAGGAGTTTGAACCCTGAGAATTATTTTAGATATAATGAAAATCATAGAATGCATATTACAAGAGTTTCTAATGGATAAAACTCGCATTTAATTCATCGAGTTTAATAATAGTCACATGGATCAATTTGTTCTAGAGTCTCGTGACAAATTTGTCTGATCATCAAATAACAATATGTAACATAATTGATGCTAATTTTTTTTATTTAAAATATATATAAAAAGATTTTATCTAACAATAAAATTAATCGATATTTACCCCAAGATCATTTTTCATTCATCAAAAAAAAATAACAAAATAGCCAAATGTACATGTATATATATATATATTTAATAAAAATAAGGATGAGGGTAATGATATTGATTTTTAAAAATGAAAATATCTTCAACTGGAACACCAGGATTTAAAAAACAACCTTCACTTGAATCATACAATGGTCTAAAGAAATCAGGAATATCAGAATTGTTTTGTTTTATTCTTGATAAAGTTCTCTCAAGTAAATCAAATTTCGTTTTAAAATCTTTATCATTGTATTCTTGTAAATTTTTTACAAAATTATTAAAACCTTGAATTGATTCATTATAACGATTTATTTTTTCGTTGTTATCATTATTGTCATTATTGTCATTATTTTCATTCTTTTTTGTTGCTGAAGATGATATTGGGGATATTGAAGATTGACTTGATGAAGTAGATTTAGGTGTAGTGACGTAGGAAGGTGCATTAGATATACTAGCAGATGGTGTATCATCACTATTACGATTACTTGGCATGTTAGTAGATGTATCATCATTATTAAGACTTGATGCACTAGTAGATGTATTATTACTATTATCACTATTACTACCAGATGATGTAGTAGTGGTAGTGGTAGATGTTGAAGATCCATCCGATGATTGTGATTGAAAATCACTCGATGTTAAATTGGAAAAATTTAATTTAGACATTTGTAGTAATTGTGCTTCTGCTGTATTTTTTAAAGATTTTCTTTGTGGTGACGAAATGAAAACATTATTATCATCATTATCATTGACAATATTAGCATTAACATTAGACGTACGTGTAGGTGTAGATGTATTGGATTTAGATCTATTGTTATGATTACTATTATTATTAGAATTGGAATTATTATTAGAATTATTGTTTACTGATAATAATTTTCTTTGAAAACTTGATGGTGATTGACGACGATGATCCGATGAAATTATCGCATTAGTATGGTTATTATTATTATATTCTTGAGATTCTTGAGAAGAAGAAGAAGATATGATGGTTGTAGGAGTGGTGGAGGGCGACGACGTTGGAGTTAAAGTTGACGAGGAGGATAAATGAACAAGAACGTGTTTTTGCCTTAAAGGTGTTGAATAATTACTAATATTGTTGTTGTTATTGCTGCTGCTAGGTGTTCTTAAAGGTGTAGTTGAAGCAGACGTTATGTCCATATAATCTGTAATTATTCTTCTTGATTCAGGGGCAAAAACACTACACTCCATCATTATTTAAATTTTACGCGTTTTTTTTTGAATTATTACTGTTGTTGTTATCTAAAAATAAAATAAAATAAAATATATTTTATCTATATTTATATTTATATATGTGATATTGTTATAAATATAATGTTAAATAGTAAAAGTCGATTTTTTTTTTTGTTAAAAAAGAAAAAACAATAAAATATTTATAATATTATGTATTAATAAAATTAATTAAAAAAATAAACCAATCAAAATTTATAATGTTTGAGTGGATGATATACAAAATGTTTCAGCAAGTTTTACGTAATTCTCGCACGCTCTTGATTATTATTATTATTTATAAAATTTATTGTTGTCGATCTACATATTAAGATTGATGCTTTTGTTAATTGTAATTGATTGAATAAAAAAAAATATATGCAAGTCTAACGTTTATTAAGTAAGTCAATAAATTAATTATTATTAATAGTAATAAAAAAGGAATTAAAAATTTACAAAATTTACAAAAATTTAAAAATCTAAAATTTTAATTAAATTTAATGTTTAATTATAAGTTGGAGGTTTCGTTTCGATATCAATACCAGGCGGAGGCGTTTCAGAAAAAAGAGGACTTGTGGTATTTTTTAATTGTTGTAATTTCTTCCATTTTTTATACAATAGAACTGTTACTACTGTTATCGTAGTTATACTAAAAACACCTCCAACTGTTACCCCAATTATAGTTCCTAATTCTTTTGGTAATATAAAGGGTGTTTCTGTCACATCATCGCTAGTTGACGACAATAATGTTGAAGATGGTGATGATGAATTTGTTGTTGAAGATGGTGATGATGATGGTTCTGAATTTAATTCGTTATTTTTAGTAATAACATTGCTATTACTAAGATTAAGATTATATGATGATGTCCATTTGTACTCGGAAGGTAACGAAATATCCAAAATATAAATATCTGAAGATGGTCCTGTCGTCGTGTTTCCTATACAAATAAAGAATAACTTGAATATGAATAAAAGTTCGCATATATTTACAAAAAGCATTTATTTACTCACCAAATGTTATAATCATTTGATTATTAATTAAGGTTGCAGAATGATATGCAAGAGCAGATGGTGATTGGTTGGATATTTTTGGTTCTGACCATTGAAAATTACTTGTATTTAAAACAATTAGATTTGGTGTTGCAGGTTCCATTCCATCATTTGAACTCTTACCACCAAAAATAATTATATTATCATTTGAATCTTTGTATTTATTTTGTAATAAGGAATTATAATTATTAATTGATTAATTAATTAATTATAGTAAATATTGATTACATTGTATATAAAGTACTTACCCAATACAGCAGAATGGCCAATTCTCACATCTGGATTAATACCAGTGGCAATCTATTAAATAAATAAATCAATAAACTATTTTTCTTTGGTAAAATTTTTCATCGAATCTTGTTTATTTATTTAATAAACCACACTTACATTCTTCTTCCAAACAGCTTTCTTAGTATCATAAACCCATATCTAAAATAAGATAAAATTTTTATTAATTAAAGTCATATATTATATTGATTATGACCAAAATTATATTTACCTCATTCATTTGAGCAAATGATATAACACTTGAACCAGGAATCATTTGTTTTCCACCAATATAAATAATATTTCCATTAGATAACAGCGTGGCGGTATAATCAGACCAAAGTGGAGGCTTGTCTTTGTTGGAGAAAATAATTGACTCCCAGGATAAACTGTTATTTGAATTTGTATTTAAAACGTTCATATCGTTTAACAAAGTGGTACCATTAAAACCACTCGATCCACCAAAAATATATATTTTTGCATTTTGATTATCATTAACAGCTTGAAATAATATTCTTTGTTCTGGTGTAACACCATCAATGACTGGCTTTTCCCATTGTTTGCTCAATGGATCAAAAGCGTTTACAAATCCATTAATATTAGACGTTTTTGATGTTACTTCTCTTCCAACATTACCAAACAAATATATTATTTTATTGCTATCGCCAATTGAACTCCAACAATAACTTAATGGCTGTGGTGTATTATTGGAAGTTATTTGTGATGTTAAATCTGTCCATGGAATATCATTGTTGTTGAATGAATTGGATAAATCTAATAATAATATTTGATTTATACAACTTTCAATGTCATTTGAACCTTTTCCAATTCCTCCAAAAAAATACAATTTTGAATCGATTAAAATGCTAGTTGTAGAATGCCTTGGTGTTGGAATAATTGATTCTACAATCCCGACATAATTTATTATTAGTAAAAATATTATAATAATTGATAAGATATTACTACTATTATTATAATGATGATAACGATTATTGTAAAACTGTTTTCTTGAATTCTTCATGTTGATTCAATAAAAAAAAAAAAGTTGTCCTAATAAATCTTGTTCTAGAAGAATTTTTAACGACTGTTTAAAGGAATGTAAAAAATATCTAAAGTGTGTTTTTTATTAAAATGACAATGAATAATAAGAAACATGAATTTGGTGGTAAAGGTAACAGTTAGGAAAACCTTTAAAACGACGACGATATTAATGGTGTGGAAAAAAATTTGATCGTAATGTTTAAATTATTACAGTTCAATTTATATACAACAAAAAAAATTTCATGCATGCATATGTACGTATATATATATATATATATATTTGTATTCCCGTTTTTAGAAAGTTCCTAATTAATGTAATTAATGTTTTTAAAATTTTTTTCTTGAGGCAAACGGTAATTCGCTTTTAATATTTTTAATATTACAAAAATAAAAATATATCAAATTGATGGGTCTTTTATACACCACCCATTATTCAATTTTGTTGTGTACATTAATGTTATATATTTAGTATTGTTTAATTAATGGTAACCAATGATTTAAGATTATGCGTCCAATCTATTTCCTTATATGGCGAACAGATTTCCTTGATAGATAATTTTAATTATTATACATTTTTAACATGGCTTCCGGGCTTTAACTTCACTTATTCATAAAAAAATGAACAGACAATGGCTAATATTAAATGATACACGTACGTACGTATAGATAAGGAAGGGCGCTGGCAGCTTTCTGATGGATCTATCTTTAGCTGAACCAGAGTCACACGATGTATTAGTAATCTCAATATTTATAGATATTATATGTATAAACCTTTCTTTCTCTCTCCCGTTTACCAATCAAGATTTATATTCTTGCTAAAATTGCAAATAGAAAATACATTGTTAAAAAAAAGGAATTATTTTTTTTTAATTGTTTGTTGTCAATTAATTAATCAATTGCTGTTAATAAAATATCCGTTAAATTATCACATAAACATTGGGCGAGTGTGCGACATTTTATATAAGGAAATCTTTTTCAACAATAAAAATGTAAAAAACAAACACTATTTTTCAAATGGGGAATGCTGCAACAAAACCCAAAAGTGAGCATAATAATAATGTAATACTGCCAGTACAACACCCCAATAATCCAACAGTCGGAACTCGTTAAACATATGTATTTGTATTACGTTGACGTGGCAGCGAACTTTTATACAATAAAATGCACCTTTTAACGAATTATAAAACGAGTAGCAAGGTTGGAGTAGATTTCGATTATTTTAGAACACATATTTCTCTTTTTTCTTTTAATGTCAGTGTATTTTTCATTTTGACATTTTTTTTGATGTGAAAATAGTACGCAAATCATCTATTATACAAAATAAAACAAAGTTTCTTTCGATATGTGGAACCATATGCAATAATCGTCTTAAACATTATTCGTGTTATTTGAGTTGATTTTTATTATAAAAAAACTGTTACACAATGAATTTCGCCAAGAAATTAGTTTTATAACATTCTGATAACCTCTGTTTAATTGCTGACTAAAAAAGTTAAACAAAAGAATTTATTTGCTTATTATTTAATTTTTGTAAAAATGTTGTTGCAGAAATGAATTAGTTAACAATTTCCTGCTTCTACTCTTATGAACAAGACTCTGAAATGTTGATTAATTAGTTAAGTATTTACTAGCTAATGGTAGATAGTTCGTAGTCCATAGTCATTGGTGATTTTTCGCTTGGTCAAAAAAAGCATGACAATTTTATCGATGTACCGGCCAATCATATTGCGAACATGTGATACAATATTCTTAAACGAATTTTTGATCCAAATCTGGTCCAAAAATTATAAAAAAAATATTTTCCTGCGGTCTTACCACAATCTTTCTTATTTCATAAATGATATTCAAAACCCCATACTTCTATATATTAAAAAAATTTATTTGGGGGTTACATATAACAGGTAAGAAAATAATGTGTAAAAATGTAAAAATACCTATATCTCCTTCGCTAAAATTATTAGCTAGTATGTAAACACTACTGATAGAACTTGTTAGGCAGATCAAATTACATGATTTATGTCTAAGAACCATAGGTCTAGTATCAATAATTAAAATTTTCCATATAGTGAGCTTTTCAAAAAAAAATACAAATGTTTCTTTACTTATAAAAAACCTTAAATATGATTCCAATATGTACGATTTTTTAAAAATAAATTTTTCAGGATATATGTTAATTGAAAATGTAAAAATATTCGGGGCTTGTTAGTAGTATTAGTATTTTAATTTAAGGAGGGATTGAATTTACTCGGAAGATCTACACAAATTTGGACCAAAAATCCCTGTACATTTAAGGGATAATTACATTACGACTTATGACAATATGACATTATGAATGTCAAAAGTCATAATAGTACATAGTAAAAAACGAGGGAGATTTCAAATTTATATCCCTTTATTTTATAAGATGAAATAAACATCAAAGAATATATTGATACATTTTTTTTTTGATTTTTAATCAGAAAATAAAAAACCACTGTAGATGAAAACTCTTACCACGCCTACCTCGATTACATGACAAGGCTTTTTTAAGATAAGATTTCCTTATTTTCTACCAATCATGGGGGTGGGTTCTGGGTTGGGATTCGTGTAACAGAGGTAGGTGTGGTAAATATTTCATTCATAGACGGGATCATCAATTAAAAATCACGTGTTTGATCATCTGTGAATATTTCCAACGTATCTTCTTACATAAAAGACTAGAAAAGGAAAATTTGACTGATTCATTGAGTGAAGTAGAATAACCTGCGTAACAATAGATGAAGATATGGAGGAAGATATAATCGAAGAACAAATAATAGCCTTAGATTTTAGAATGCTTTTGATTTAATTAAAGATTGGTAAATTTCAAAATTTTAATGTTTAAATTCGGATAAAATATATGTATATGTGTAGACTTTACTCCAAACCTCGGTTCTCGTTTAACCTTTGATCTTGAGATGATCTGAATGATCTTATTTAACCCAACAGTAAAGACAAAATTGACGAATATTTCCATGTAAAAAAAAAAATAAAAACAGTAAGACGATTGAACATCAATTGTTACACTGCATGCTCATAGGCATTATTTTAGAATACTCTAGTATGTTCTCTTTTATAATAGATTAAAGATCTATATCCATATTTTTCAGGAAAAAAATTCATTTTTTAAAAAAAAACTTTCTCCTATTTCCAACACATAATTTTCACGATAATGAGTGTAAGTTTGGCCTTCTTATTTGTGTACACACGTATAACAAGAACAATAACTAATAAAACTCAAATGTTCAATTTTATCATTCGATTCGATTTTTTTTAGGCAGAAGAGTTTAAAAAACAAGGAAATACAGCTTTTACAAATAAAGAATATGAAAAAGCAATAGAATTTTTTTCAAAAGCTATAGAATTAGATCCTTCAAACCATGTTTTATATTCGAATAGATCAGCTTCTTATGCTTCATTAAAACAATATGATGATGCTTTAAAAGATGCTGATAAAACGATTGAATTAAAAAAAGATTGGCCAAAAGTATAATTATGTGTTTTTTTTTGTGTGTGTATGCGCGATAATATTATAATTTTAAATACATAAATAAATTATTTTGATGATGATTAGGGTTATAGTCGTAAAGGTGCTGCACTTCATGGTATGGGAAGACTTGAAGAAGCTCGCGAAACATACAAAGAAGGTCTTACTCATGATCCAAACAATCAACAATTAAAAAAAGCGTTGGAAGAAGTTGAAAACGCATTAGCTCCTAGTAAGCAATATATGATGAAATTATTTTTTTAAAAAAAAATAATATGATACCATGAAATTCTAATTCTGATTCTGATTCTTTAATTATATAGGTAATACGAAAATTTTCCCAGATGATATATTTGCCAGGATAGCCCTAAACCCCACATTAAGACCATATCTTGATCAACCAGATTATGTTGAAAAAATTAAAGCTATTCAAGCTAATTCTGAGCTTTTAAACGTGTACGCAATTAATTTTCACTACTGCTACTATTATTATTGTTAGTTTTTTATTACTTACCTACAAATATTTAATTTTCATTACCTTGAATGATTTTTTTTTTTTAAAAAATATTTTTTAGACATTTACAAGATAAACGAATAACTAGTACTTTTATGTACATTTTAACTGGTAATGCCAATTTCGATCCAAAAGAACCAACGTCTCCTACACAGGTATGTATTATTGAGAAAGTATATAAAATATCCAACCATTCCACAATTAATTAAACCATTCAATTAACAATCAGGATGATGTGAAAATGGAAGAACCTAGTAACAATGATAGATCTACATCATCATCAAAACCACAATCTGAGCCTGAACCTGAGCCTGAACCTGAAGAAGTTACAGAAGAAAAGAAAAAGAAAAATGAGGCAATTAAAGAAAAAGACATGGGCAATGCTGCTTATAAAAAGCGTGAATTTGAAGAAGCTATAAAACATTACGATAAAGCTTGGGAATTGGATCCTACAAATATTGCTATTTTGAATAATAAAGCTGGTAAGTGATATGCGTTTTTTTTTTGCTAATGATGATAAGAATTAACTAATTAGTTATTAATTATTTTATAATTGTGAAGCCGTTTTATTTGAACAGGGAAAATATGAAGAATGTATCAAAATTTGTCATGAAGCTATTGAAATTGGTCGTGAAAATCGTGCAGATTACAAATTGATTGCTCGGTAATACTATAATTATAATAATTATAATACTATTATTATCATCATGGCTAATATATTTCTCATCACTCTATTTATCTTTATATAGTGCGTATGGTAGAATTGGAAATTCATATTTGAAATTGGATAACCTTGAAGAAGCAATTAAATATTTTAATAAATCATTGACTGAACATCGTACGCCAGAAATACTGGGTAAATTGAGAGATACTGAGAAATTGAAAGTTAAAAAAGAAAAAGAATCCTATTTCAACCCAGAACTATCGGATAAGGCACGTGAGGCAGGAAATGAACTTTTTAAGAAGAGTGCATTTGCTGATGCTGTTAAAGAATACACAGAAGCAATTAAACGTAATGAAAACGATCCACGAGCTTATAGTAATCGTGCTGCTTGTTATACCAAATTGATGGCATTCCAAGAAGCATTAAAAGACTGTGAAACTTGTATAAATCTTGACCCTTCATTTGGTAAAAAAAATTTTTTTTAAAATAGTAATGAGATTTGTTTTATTTGTAATTATAATGCTTATCTGCCTATTTGTTTCTGTGTATGTATAGTTAAGGCATATATCCGTAAGGCAGCAGTAGAATTTTTGAAGAAGGAATATAAAAAATGTTTGGAAACATGTCAAATAGCATTATCTCATGATCAAGATGGTAAACATAGAGCAGAAATCATGCAACAAATAAATAAATGTCGTGCAGCAATGTATGAAGATTCAGCATCGGATGATAATCCTGAAGAAATTTTAAAGAAAGCCTCAAGTGATCCAGAGCTTATGGTGTGTATTTTGAAAAAAGAATTCCTTTGTTTTTTATATATATATTTCCTATTTAAAAGAACAATACTAAAATATATCTAATTTAATAGAAAATTTTGACTGATCCTGTTATGCAACAAATTCTTCAACAAAGTCAAGAAGATCCACAAGCATTTAAAGAGTAAGTATTATTTTTTTTTTCCTTGATATTATTAATCATAATAATTATGACCATATTGATTTTTTTACCTCCCTAAAAATATTATAGACATTTAAAGAATCCTATGGTTGCGGCGAATATTCATAAATTGATAAATGCTGGTATAATAAAAACAGGATAACAAAATATGTTGTAGCAGAAAATTTTTTGTATTATTTTGTATTTATGTTATATATTTATATATCTAAGTTGGGTTTTTTATAATGCATCATGACTAGTTCATCAATGTTAATGAAATCATCATTATTATTATTGATATCATTAATTTTTATCCAATTTTATCATTGTTTATAAATAAAATATATTAATAAAATTTATTTCATAATCAATTATTCCGCTTATTATAATCGAGCCATACACGATCAAATTTTCGGAGATTTAGTTGTATATTGATATTATTGCATTGATGGATTGATTTGTTATTTTAATAAATAGTATTTTTCCAAAAAAATAAATTATTTAGGAACATTGAACGTTGGGAAAATTCCAACTATTCAAATATAATCATATGCTACAAGTCTCTTGCTGGAAATTTTCTCCAGTTCTATGGTTTTTTTGTCAAAATCGTTTTAAAAAAATCATTGAACAAATTACCAAGATGACAACTCACTATCACCATTGATGAGTGAGTGTTATCTATTATTTGATTATTCTGACACAAATTTACATTATACATTACTATTTTTCGCTGATAATGTAATTATTATTATTAATATCTTCTTCGCCGTCTTCATTTTCATTTCTTTACTCTCCATCCCTTCATTCTTTTCCACGTTAACCCATTCTCGGATTACTTTTATCATTTTCTTTCTAGTATTGGTTTTTCGCTGGTAAAGGTTTTTTGTGGTGACAGTAGAAGCTTCTTGTTAAATGAAGAATCCGAGCTTAGGCTTTTTCTTATCAAACAAGTATTTAAAATCTTCCCACAAATTTTCAACGTCCTATGAATAGTACTTTTTTGACCACTAATTTGATTTCAGTTTTCCAGACTTTGATTGTATCGATTTTTTGGTTTATGTTGTGGTAGAACTTTTTTTTAAAGTATTGTAAAGAAGAAATATCAGCCAACGACCCATAAAAATTTTGGGCAAAGATATTTTTTTAAATGTGTGTTTTTATAATAAACTATCTTATGTCCATCAAACGGTTAAATAAACTCAACTCTAAACTCTAAACTATCAGAAAATTTGATTGTAGAATTTGTTTAGATTGTTTACAACGCAAATATTTGCAAGTAACGATATTGGTTTCAAGGACGAAACATCTAATTTATCGCTAACAAGAATTTTATATGTTTTGGAACTTTTTGAAGCAGGAATAACTTTTGTTTATTGATTTTTTAAAATTCATTTGTTTATTTTATAAAATTTATTACACGAATGTATGAATTAATTGAAAATGAAGGATTTAAAGGTTGGATGGTGCGTGGATTGTGAATATTTAATAGGATTTCGATGTTCCCACGAATTTAAACGCGCTGAAATCGAAACTAAAGCTGATCCAGAGAATTTTTTTAACGAATATTGGTTTTATTTATAATAATGATAATAATAAAAATGAAAAACTTCGATTTATGACAGCAATAGTTTGTTTAATAGATCATTGTTGTACATTAATGACTACACACTAGTCTTATTGTGCTTGGTTAAATGGTTATCTTTCTTAACAATCGTGAAAAAAAATGTGCATTTTTGTGAAATTGTGAAATTGAAATTAGCCAATCAATTATTAATAATAGTTCTTGGATGAATATCGGTTAGATTGCATGGAAATTGGTCGTAGCAAATGTTGTGAGTGCTCCACGTTACCGGAGTAATTACTCATAAATAAAGCAAACATCAATGATCATGACCAAATGAAATGCGATTTAATCTAATTTTAATATTATTGGTTGATCGTTTTGATTACTCAATTTAATATTTAATATTATTTAGCTGCTACATTATAATAGTGATCACAATCATCATATTCATGAATATTCATTAAGGGGGTTACACTTATCAAAATCAAGTGATTGACACATAATTTTAAGGGGTTTTTGGATTTTTGATAAGTGTAACCCCCTTAATGAATATTCATGAATATGATGATTGTGATCACTACATTATAATTACGACATAATAGCCAGAATATCAATACAAAATTGAGGTTATCTAACATACTAATACGGAGTTAATCAATACTTTTTACTGGTTTTGTTTACATTAAATCGTTAAAGGAACTGCAATTTTCAGGACCGGGGTTTATGAATACAAAGCAGTGATTTTTAAAAAATGTTGTGGGGGGTGATGTGGTAAGCGACCAAGAAAAAAGGCTTTAGATCGGTAATATCATGCAGACTGTGGGGCGGTTCGCTTTAGAAGATGGTTGTAAATGTGTACGTATTAATAGCAATATTAACAACCAAAACTGCTCGAAGTTCGTTTTATTCTCTCATTTGCTTTTTTAGCTAACATTGATACAATTGACCAAGTTTTTTTATTAATAATAACGACGATTGTGACGTTAATAACAATGGTGATAATGTCGATAATGACGATGATAATAATAGCAGTGTTAACAACAATAATAGCAACAACCATTACATTGACAATAATAGTAATAATAATGGTGGTGACCATGAGCAACTACTACAACCCCCCTTGTATGCACTGGCACGTAAATTGGTAGTAGGGCTTCTATTCGAATAAGGTTTATTCGAATTATTCACTTTGTTCGTTATGAATTTGATTATTCGAATTACATTGAAAGTTTATTCGAATAAAAAAATTAATTCGATTCGAATAAGAAAATTAATTCGAATAAGGAAATTAATATCAATATTAATATTAACTTGAATAAAGCAAATAATTTGAAAAAATTAATTCGGATAAAACAAATAATTAAGGTCCAGTTTAAATTCAAGCTCACTGGAAAGATTGCTATTTA